TATAATTAATTTAAAAAAAATGTTTATAAACTTATCATTGAATATTTATTCAATTAAAAGTAAATACTAATAATTTGAAAATTAATTAATAAGTGAGATAATTACCCTATATTATATTTTATTTCGAAAAAATAAATATATATGAATAAAAACATGTAATAGCATAATGCCTCAACCAGCAGCAATGTTTTTTTAAATATTTATTTAATATTATTCGCCGCTGTTTCGGACTAACGTTCCTTTTTTTTATGATCAAATGGCAAGATTCCCGCGCGAGGTACTTACCACTTATTTCTAAAGAGTATCATCTAAAAAAAATATATATATATGTGTATATATATATATATATATATATATATATATATATGTATAAAACAATTAAAAAACATTGTCTGATGATTAAGGCATTTCAAGCAATATTATTACCTAATAGAATAGCCCGATAAAATTATTACATATAATGCCACGATCGAAATAAAAATATGACAAAAATAATTTATCGTAAGCAATTTGTGAAAGCAAAATTTACAATGCGTTTGATATCGAACAATTTAAAAATAATTACTGTTTTTTATTCAACTTATAAAAGAGACTTATCGTCAGAATAGTGTGCAATTGAAAGACTGGTCAATAGGTCTGGGCCACTTTGTATAGCCATGCTGAAACTTACGTACATAGAAAGTCTACCACAGTGTCGAACAGCTGTGTAGAGATTAAATCGACTAAATGACTCGCTTAAACATTAATCATGAGTAACCGACCGTGAAAGGTGCTCGCTTTCTGACTTGAAGAATGATGTGCGGCTTATCCCACGACGATCCCGCAGGGATCTTTTTCGGTGATGTAAATGTAAATCAAGAACATAATACGATGCGTGATTCATAACTCAATAATTTATTCCTATTACATTTAATTCTACAGTACTTCTCAGAGAGTTACTGTCGACGTTCATAATGCATCGCGTCGGATTCTCATGTAAAACAAAACGACAATGATGACGAATTTCGTATAATTAACGTTCTTATAGATATCGTAATACATTTTCGACTTACGTTCGACAAATGTATGTAAGTGTAAATCGCTGAGAATATAATCGCAGATTGTTAGATTAATTATACAAAAATTTTGGTCTTGTAATAATATGATCCCATTCTAATTTATTTTCAGTTTTATTATTTGTGTTATTTCTTAACTCAATCAAACATTATCTATCTGTATATCATCTGAATAAAGAGAAATAATTGATTGATTAATCAAATCGACATACAGACGTTCATAACATAGCGTTGATAGTAATGATAGCTTATGCTACCTATAGACACAATTAGTATTAATTAGAATATCCGAGAAGTCTCAACTTTAGTTTGTTCAATTCTTTGATAAATCTCGAATTAACTTGTTCTTAAGATAAATATTGAACATTTTTTCTAATGATAGCAATTTTTTATAATATTAAATTTTAAACATCATAACAATTGAACTTGTGATTAAAATTTTGGAATAAAAAAGTCCATTACTTGTCCATTTTAATAAGTAAATAATATCGTTTTGTCATAATTCACAAATCATATTGATGTGGTTCAGCATTTTAATTCGAGATTTTTAATTAATCCAAGAATTAATTATTAAAAGTAAATTCTAGAATTCTAAAATATCGTATATTACACGCCTATTAACAAGTTACTTAAACGCAATATATAGCCTAAAAGAAAAAATGTTATAGGAGCAAAATAATTATAACAATCTTCAATTTAGTTAAATAATTAAAATTTTGTTGTCGGCATATTTGAGAGCTCTACTCCAACTGAGATAACAACAAATAAAGTATCGAGACAATATATATGTATATATACACACATACATATATCTGTATATAAAATTTATGAAACAATAACAAATACGAATAAAACAAACGACAAAAAGCAAGAGCACAGAACTTGTGCATAAAAATTTTTCGAAATATACATCCTTAATACAATCCCTTCATACATTATGGCCTTCTTCAGGTTTTCTTCAGGCGAAAAATGTAATATCAATTCATCGTTTCAATAATTCATTCCGCCAGTAGTTGACATATGTTCTGCAATTACGGGAGACGGGCGTCTAATTGCATATTACGTCAACTACTATTAGCAGAATAAATTATTGAAATTGTGAATTAATGTAACATTTTTTACTGAAGAAAATCTGAAGGAGGTACAAAACGTATAAAGGAATTGTACATTTGTCACATGATTTAATATATTTCGAAGAATTTTTTTGCATTATTGATTTTTATCGCCTGTCTTATTCATCTTTGTTATCGTTTTAAAATTAACAGACATATTATATATTATTATAAAATTTATATACATAACGTTATGTGTGTACATACATTTTTCATAAAATAAATAAAACTTTATATATACGGTTTGACGTGATTCTCTATTATTACTGAATACTTTCAATTAAACTATGACGGATTACCGTCGTACACTTAATTAGAACTTTAAAGCACCATATACCATGTATAATATTCGACTATTTTAATTAAATAATACATTTCGAGATTATGACTACGTATACATCTTCAATGATAATCGTGTGTTGCCATAAGTAAAAAGTCGTATAGAAAGTTGAGACTTATAGCAACGATTCCTCAGTATATAAGAATCTCCCTTCTATTAATTAACTATATTTAAAAAAATGTCTAGCAATAAATTGAAAGTAAAAAAAGATACTTCTTTACAAAAATCAGATGAATTGAAAAGAATTAGTACGAATTCATTTCGTAGATTGTGACAATTAGAATCCTAATTGTCAGAATCAGGGAATGAAATCTCTGATTTCTTTAATCTTGAATTTTCTCTTACCTTTATCTAAATCCATATCCATTACATAATTATCGTAAAAAATAAATTCTAGAAATAAAAAAGAAATAAATTTTATGTAAATTTTTTTCGTTAAAAATTTTTCGTTAAAGTATACTAACAAAAGAAAGAAATGGAATAAAATTTGAAAAATTAAGCAAAATTAGTATCTCTATCATGCCGAAGTTTAAGAAGTATTTATTGTCACATAAATATAATTGATCTCAATAGACTTTAATCTATCTAGAATGCAAGATAATAAAGTCTTAGGATGAATAGTCCTAAAACATTGTAAAGTAAACGAGTAAAAACTTTACACTAAATAATTCGTGTTAGTTATCGTAGATAATCCGCGTTACATCGTAATACGTTTATAGGGTGACATTGAGATCGATTTCAATCTTAAGCATTATTGACATCTCTTTCCGAGTCTCTTTTACAAGCCGAATGCACCCTAACGGCTGCGATTCTACGATCTATCTGCTTTGCAGATGGCTCTGGCGAAGATATTTTAGCTATAGAGAAATTTTCGGTCATCTTTTCGATGTATATTCGAAAATTTCTTGACTATATACCAAACATATATCAATTATCGCAACAGACGAACTATTACAATATTAGAATGAAGAACAATATAAGCTCTAATTGTAAGTAATAAAAATACATATTAATGTAATACAAAATTGTACTTCCCCGATCACCGCGAGTTTCTGTTACTCATAATTTAATAGAATACTCATGTAAAAGATGATCGGTTTATATTACGCTAAAAGGATTGAAAGCACCTGTCGATCTGTCGATTAAAAATAAATATATCAATAAAAAAAATAAATACATCGTTATTATCTAAAACTCTGTAAATATCAGCTACAAAAATAACGTATTCCTCTTCATTTCCATTTACAAACTGATTCTTCGCAAGACATTCTGATCTTTCGTTAACTAGTCACGAAAGGCACCACACAAACATAGGCTTTCTAGAAACACACATCTATTTTTTGAACGCTATTAAAAGCTAAAAGATAAAGGCATAATAAAGTAAAAGAAAAATTATCGCTCCTCGCTGCAACGGAAGTATACCATATACGACACATTAGACGTTCGCATAATAGATCACACAAAGCTCAACGAAAGACAGAAATTTTATTCGCAAGCTTTAGCTACATTGCACTCTATTTTTTCTGTTCTTCTCTTTCTCACGATCCGTACACAGTATCGACGAGACTCAAATAATTTATATAATAATGAGAAGAAAATACAACGGAAATGCTGTAGTCGAGAAACAGTTCCAAAATAGTAAGGTGATTTACTGTCTTGGAATTAGAAAAGTATTTCTTGAGGATTTAGAACTCGTTGAGCGCTAAAAATGCTCGGCTGAAGAAGGATACGCCGATAGACATGTTCGAAGAGAGATTAATAAATCTAATCTCAACGTTTCATGAGAAATCTAGGGATCTTTTTAACTTCCCGAGAACAACTAGAAAACAATTAGGGCCTTGTTGCAGTCAGCATGCGAAGAGCGAACTCGTTAGGTCAACAACTGCGATTACCAGTGCCATTATTCACCTGTGTGCCGCCGGTGACGCCAGTCTCCGCTTCGTAATCGGCAGTTCTGTGCTTCTCCATGGAAGAACGTTTCTCTTTCTCTTCTTTGAAGAGATCTGCCACGCAGTGTGTCTAAGAAAACACCATAAAGATCTCTCACACATTGCATAGACCTCTATACATTGATCTCTATACCTCTATCTCGATTAATTATTTATATGTGGATATTATAAAAGAGTTTGACATCTAATCAGATTTTTAGAGAAAAACAATCATAATAAAATTAATTTATAACAAAAGGAATTTTTGATCAAAAAAATTTTCATATTTATGTTTATTACTAAATATCTTAAAATATTCTAACATTTAAACTATACAATTATCTTACATTTTGTAGTCGAAATAATAATATATATATATATATATATATTCAAATATTTTTCGTAACTCATCCAATTTCTTATTTTTCTAGAAGATTAAGTTTTAAAAGTAATAATAAAATAAATAAAATCATATATTTCAAAATTATTTCTTGCGATTAATATCTTATAAAAGTTGAATAATTGATCGGATAATGCTTACCACTACTAGAGCGCTGATTATACCGAGGGCAGATCCAGCGAGAACATCACTCCAATGATGTTTATAATTGGAAATTCGTGTCATTGCGGTAAACCACGCCGTGAGCAAGCATAAAAGTTGAAGGAAGTGTCTAAGCAGCTTACTACCCTTCCACTTCATTCTCAGTTGTAGATACATCTGAATAAAATTATGCCAAAATTAATTATACCAAAACATTATCAATTTTATAAATTAAAAACTTGATCAAATTACAGCAGATAAAGTTTTGATTAAATGAAAAAAAAAATCAACTGAAACTTTTTTAAATGCTATCTTGTTATCGATATAAAACAATAACATGTATATGTATAAATCACAAACAGAAAATTTTAGAGTGCGAAAGGAAAACTTAAACAATTGAACAAATAATTTGGTAACTTGCATTTTTTATTTGTTTATTAGAATATCCACAGCGATATAAAATCAAATTATTCAAAGTAATTCACGATTGAAAATTTAACGTTCGAGATACAATTATTATTTTCGTAATCACAGATATGATTATCGCATTGAGTTAGCTTTGTAAGGAATTAACATGGGGATCGAATTCAGCGTAATCAATGCTTCACGTATATTAAATTATGTAAATTGGTGTTTGCGGCCGAAGATTCTAAAGACCGTCCGTGGACCAACACACTCGTTTAGGTCCGTTGAATAATTACGATCCGGCTCACACAAATTGTAAATCAATGCAACACTTGCGTAACGTAAGGACTACTTACCGCAAGATAGATCATGGTGTAGGCCGAGAAGGACGAGTGACCGGAGGGAAACGATAATCTGAAATGATTGATCGTGTCGGGTCAAATAAATTCCACTTATCAATATCGAAGTATGCAATGGAGAGTGGGAAAAAATTCTTTCCTCTTCTTCACTCTCTTTTCGCGATCATCGCGTATGCACGTAAGTGTATATGTGCATCCCTCCCCCCTGCTCTCTCTTTCCCTATTAATTTTATCGCGGCATTTAATTCCGGGGCATGTATAGCGTGCCGATTACGATCGACGAGACAGTGAAGAGCCGCGAGCAACGAAGAATATACAAAGAAGAGGAGAGAAACCGAGCCGCAAAAAAAAAACATAAAAAAGGCGCAAAAAAGACTCAATATACTTGTATCTTTCTCTTGCCTTCCCCTTTGTCTCTGTTTCATCCACGAGACTCGTTCGATTATAAAAAAGAATTTGGACGGAGCATCAGATAAATTAGGAGCTGCAGTTCGCTATTCGGCAGCGGTTGTTGATTTCATATATACTCAAAATTATGATAGTTATATCAATCCTTGGATGCATAAAAATGCATAAAAAAATTTTAAAACTTTACAATATTTACATTTTTATTTACATTCCTCCTATATAATTGAAAGATTAATTTCCTCTTAAATTCTTTTAGATAATTTTTATGAAAACCTTAAGGCGCTATTTTCTGACAGAATCCAATTTAAAATTATTCATCTGCTATTTTTTTCTGCGAATTATAAAAAAATTTATTTAAAAAATGTATATCCCAAATTTAATTAGATGGTAACCTCTGTCAGGGAATTCGTCGTTAAAGTTAAGATTCCGGAATTGTATTCTATCACGAATTACACACCTCTCAACGCGCTAACTTAAATCCAAAAACATAACGAAAGAGTTACATTATGAACGAATAAAAAAGTTCTTTCTATCGTTCTTGTAAAATGTGTACACGTTTATGTAAATTATGTATCTTGAGAACTTACAATTAGACAACATTGATAAATGGCGGATCAATGAAAAATGCTACTAGTTTTTTTCATTTAAATACAATACCCTCCCCTCCTCCCTCTCTCTCACTCTCTCTCTCATTCTTTCATTCGGCACGATCTCTCTGCCTGTTACCGTGTGGAGAGAAACGACTGAGGACTCGAACGCTGCGCACGAAGGGATCATGAATGAATTCTCTGTGTGGCGTCGCCTCTTTATCGTCAGGATTCCTCAAATCTTTCTATAGAAACATAAAACTGTCTCCGCCGACGGCCACGCGAATAAAGAGTGGATGATCTGTGATATGGTCGAGTACGCGTGTACGTAGCACCGAAAGAATATTGGTTTTGTTATAACGCAGACAAACCGTCCTTTCTTTTTGTTCGCTTAAATGATAACGTCCGTTTGATCTTTCCGTCTTCCACGAGAGCGAAGAAGAAAGGAGGAAAACGAAAAAGGAGAAAGGTGAACGCGCGCATGACGTAAGCTTGTAGTGCGAGTCTGATCGCGATGTTTCGTGGAACTTTATTAGACTACCGAAAACGGAGAGAATCGAGAGACCATATCCCCCTCGTTGTAACTTCTTGTATATTCGATCTCGCAAATCCATGACACTACCACAAACTTTCGCACATCAACGGTGCTATATGCGACGATAAACTTGAAAACATTTCACGTTCAATTCACGCGGATTAAAATAATGTTGAGAAGAATTTTTTATGTATACTGTCTACTTGTTTAAGAGAGAATTTAAAACGATTAATATTTAAACTAAACTTCGCAGGCGCTTTTAAAAAAACTTATTAAAATCGTTATTCAGTTAAATAGCACCTTGAACATTTTTAAAAAACATATACTAAAAACATATACTAAAATGTTATATTCAAAAATAAAATTTCCCAATGTTGAGTTTTTAATTAATGTAAAATGTAAAATCAAGTTAAATAACTTGGAATAAACTCTTTAATTAAAGACTCGAAATGAAAAGAATGGCTAAAGCTAAAAAGCAAAATGTCGGCAGTCTTTCGTCAAAAAAGACTGATTTAAAGAAATGACTCTTTCCTCTCTACTGTCCAGAATTCAACATCCGAGTGTGATCCGTCACACGTTAAATCAATTTCGCGAGTCGCAAGTTTACGTTTATTTCTAACGCGTTTCCCTGACTTCTAAAAGATAATGACGTATGCGGTAGAATGTTGGTGGGCTCGGGGTTATTTCTAGTAATAAGCCGTATGTAATCCTTCGTACGTCTTCTCGAATTCACGCGTGCCTAAATGTTCTAACGAGAGAACCTCGCAAAGTGTTAAATTCTGACTTTTAATGAAACTTTGTACACTTATAGATTACGTAAATAGATGAATTTAAGAAATATCAGTCGGTGCAGCTAACAAATGGTTTGAAGGGGTGAAATCACCCCTTATATGTAAAGTAGTTTTCAGTTCTTTTTATCTCGAAAACTATTAAAAAATGTTTTATTAAAAAATGAAAACTATTGTTTTCCACATGTGAAAATGATAGTGTTTTGTCACGGAAAATAATAAAATAATATTCGACCGATATGTGTGAATATATAACTAGTTTTATAATAAAAAATTAAGTGTCAAATTCTGATTTTAATGTATACATATAAACGCTATCATTTCCACGTGTGAAATTAACGTTTTACATAAAATAAAAAATGTAAAATATTTTTTGATGTCGAATGGTTTTCGAGATATAACGAAAAGAGCTGAACACTACTTTACATATTGAGGGAGTGATTTCACTCCCTCCTTCTTCGAACCGTTTTTAGCACCAACTAATATTTTTTTAATTCATCTATTTAATCTCTGTACAAAGTTTCATTAAAATCATTAAAGAATTTAACACTTCGCGAGGTTCCCTCGTAAGTCTTATTGTTAGACGCATTTCACGAACCTTTTACTTTGAGCTCTCCGCACTCCTGTCCGTTTTTGAGAGTATTCTCGCGTTCCGCGTTTACTAGATAGGTAAATCAAAGGCATAAAAATTACAGAAGCATAAAAAGAAGAATTACTGAGACGCTTTTCAGAAATTATGCTTTCGTTTGTGTTAAAATTGCAATCTTGTGTATAAAATGCTGAACTCAGTTACTCCTCACACATTCATCATGAAGATATCTATGTCCCGATATTTATTATTCTAATCCCAATAAATAATTAACAATAGTATTTATTGTAAGAAATTATAAGAATTTCCCAAAATTTAACAAAAAAATAAGATTCTAATTAAACAAAACAGTATATGACTTTTAGCGATGATTATCTTTTCCATTTAATTTTTGATTTTCGTTTTTGCATTGCGAATTTTCGAATCGCCAATTGTAGCTAGCGGTAATAAGCGGGATGTATTCGCGGATAATTTGGGAGTATGGATAGCATTTCCGTTAGCCAAGATGAAAAGAGAAAAGAAAAGAAAGAATTGCGCGATCTAGCTTGAATCTCGCTCATGCGAATCGTGTCGGCAAAGCCCACAGACAGAGCATTGCTCATTGTCATTCGCTACCGTAGCTCTTTTTGTATGCGCACGCCCGTATCCGTTAAAACTGGCCTCCGGGGGTATTATGTATATCCGGAATGCGCAAAAAGGTTCTCTACTCAACAACAAAGCTCGTACACGCGAAAAATCAATTCATTTCAGATCGTCAATTCAAAAGCTTGAATATATCCGAACTAAATTGAACGACGTCAGCGACGTTACCAGGAGATTTTTCAGATAAAATTTTAGTAAGGAAAGTTCATTAACTGAGAATGTTTCTATTTAAAACAGTGGCAGTTAAAATTTAAGTTTACTTCAATTTTTAATAACCTTAAAAAACTTCCATCTTTTTTCAATACTAATGAAATAATTGAAATAATTTTACACTGTTTCAATTTTCTTTAAAATAATTTTTTGAGATTTTTATTAAATAAAATTTTTCTCATGAAAGCTAATTATTTTTATGATATAAGCGGAAATTTCGAAGATTCATATATTTCTTATTCTCCCCCCCCCCTCCCCCTCCCGCCCAAAAATAAATCAAACATCTTAATGATATTTTATTTCAAAATTACTGTCTACAAAAATAAATACGCAAAAAAAAAAATATTACTATAATTAAAAAGGACGCGTAAAAATAAGACATATATCGATAAGACATAAACAAGCAAATGACTAATAATGCAATAATGAGCATTTAATGAAAATCAAGCATCAGCATATAATTTTAAAATTAATCATGAACGTCTTTTTTCAAAGGGAAAGGAGGTTCCTTTACAATTAAATTTACGGCGAATTATCATTTTATCTCGTAATTCATAAATTTGTCTGCACACAAGCGCAAAGTCCGCAGACTATTAATGAAGTAAAAATAACGAAATACGACGATCCTTTCTCGCTTCTTCGTTCAATCACATGCCTCGCTTGTAATTGATGGCGCAATTGTTACCGTCACGCGATCTAAGCAGCTTGTCTCAGACTCATGTTGTCGAACACCATCATTTCAGGGTATTGCCCTGAAGATCCGTCGATGCCGGCTGGTTGCTGCCAGCTGCATCATGACCGAGAATACACTTGCGAAGGGCTCGCAATATGTGTAGACCGAAATCATATACCTATAGGTAATGCTCGTCGTTACTTATATACCGCCTAACTCTGCACTTTATCGATTTGTCACAAAGAAGTTCACGTTACGATTCATATTTAATCGCCGTGTAAAGAGGACGGTTTCTAATTCCAATCGGGAATAGTTACGCACATTTGTACTTTAAAAGAAGGGAATATTTTTTTTCTCGATAGATTAATATCTGATAAAATTGATTTTTTAACAAAAAAATGTGACAGACTATTGTTTCATTTCTATTATTTCACATATTTAAAATAAATAAATGTAAATATTTCTTATATACTTAATTACTTTTTATATACCTAATAGACATACGTATATTTTTATTGCCTAAAAAGATCAGTAAAATTACTATTAAAATGATTATTAGTTATTATTAAAAGTTTATTGCTAGTATATTTATGTTTTATATATAGAAAACGTGAAAAATTTATAATTATATTATTATAAATGAGAAAAATATATAATTATGTCTCAAGATTGCGACGGCAGATAGGTACATTTCGAGACACGCAGAGTTACGATCGAAAGATCAGATAATATTCGTATTGCAGCAGATTAAGATACTCTATCTCCCTTTAAGCTGATGAGAAATTCAGGAATGTTTCTCTCGCGTCATGTTTCTCTTACCTGACTTCCTTTAACATCTTGGCCGAGACTCCCGTTGCGGTACAGTGGAAATCCTCAATATATTTATGTTGATACTCGGGCAGGTTGCAGTCAATATTGGGTACGCAGAGGGTCATGAAATGTGGCCGCAGCCGCCCTATGGTATACTTGGCCATGTCCGTGGTTAAAACAGTACAGGCTGCACCGAAACCGAACACACCAATCTGCAAATATCATTTTTTATAGTTAATTTACATCAATTTTGTAGAAAGATACGAATTAATGGAAAATTAATTAACTTTTAATATATAATTTTTAATTAATAGAAAAAAAATGTTCGAAAAGAAATCTTGATAAAAATTTGTATTAACTTTAAATAATTCTTTTCATTAATAAATAACTTAAAAAAAAAAAAAATAAATAAACAGACAATTTATAAAATTAATAAAACAAACCTTTTGATAAGCATTCCACAGCCATGGAGGTATGGTGTATCCGAAAAGCACATTCGCCGTGTGTCCGGAGAAATGCCTCCCGTGCAGGTATTCCCCTATAATCATCTAAAATAGAAAAAATTTTAATTTAAAAATAGAACATGATATGTTTGAGACAACTTGTGACGATGCGCGTCTTATACAATCTTTCTTTAGGACTTTTTATAAAACTTGCAGGAAAACATTTTATAAGATATTTTCAGGTCGCGAAAAAATGTCGCGAAAAAGCCCGATCGAAAAGGTATTAGGACAGTTCTTGATAGAGAAAGAAAAAGAAAGGACCTAACCTTCTTCCTTTTTTCCTAAGTTCTACCGATCTGTCATACGTATTTCTGACCAAAGAGGGTTAACTAGGCCAGATCCCGGATAAAGGTCCGCCGGGTGATACAGCGTTCACCCTGCAAAGTTCACGAGGCATGCGTAAATGAAATACGACGGTGAGTCGTGCGCGCGACCGTCCTATCTGTTTCTACCTGAGCCTCTTCTTAATCCCAGGGGGGAACGCGTATCGTGTATCGGGGGGAGCGCGAGCAATCTGTTTTCCTTACAAGTGTGAGTAAAGAGAGATAGATAATAAAGGCAACCGGCTCTACGAGAGACTTGTAAGATTTTGTGAAAGGCTCGAGGAAGACGATAAAAAGGTGAACCCTTCTCGCTACGCGTCCAGGTACAGGAATGCGTCTACCTGTAAAACGTCTATCTATAAAACGTCTACCTATAAAATATATACCAGCATCAAGAAACATCAAGGTAGAAGGTTCAAGGGAGATAGGGAGAATACAGATTGCTGAATACAGTCCCGATGTCTGAAAAGAGAAAAAAAATGACAGTACAAATAAACCGTTGTAAAATCTATTAAGTCAAAACGTCAGAAAATAATAAAGTAGTCGTAAATCTTTTCACGATTCATTATTCAGATGCGGATACGCAAGCAATTTCGATCAGGACTTGTTTACAATTTAACTTTAATGATAAATAACATAATTATTTATACAAAACATTTATACAATGTTATCAAGTAATAAATATATATATGAATTTAAAAAATTTAATTTTGTTTTTGTGTGTTTATCGACTATCTAAATCTAAAATAAAAAAACTGAATTAGTAAAAAATTCAATAAAGTTTTGTAAAATTTAGTAAAAATAAATTTCGACTGAATTATTGTATCTATCGGTGAATAAACAAATCGGAGAAAAGTAAGATCCAGTAATCTTATATTTTTTCAAATGCTATAATTTTTTAGTGATCGGCCTCTCTCTCTCTCTCTCTCTCTCTTTCTCTCTCTCTGTCTATCTTCGCCTCTTTTCTATTTTTAAATTATTTCGACTCAAGCACAAAAGAATTAAAACGCACAATATGGAATTATAAACTTAACGCTAAAAAGTTGATCATTTATCAATTGGCGATCATTGGTAATCTTAAACTACGGATTTGTGCAATATATAATAGGCGATGTATAACAACCGATTATACTTGTAAGCAGTTCTTAAAAAATTGCAGAAACTTATCTTGCGCGCGAATGATTAAACAATTCTTGGATTCTTTCCCTGAAGGACTTGCCCATCTTAAGGAACTCTACGAAATCACGATACAGATCTTACCCATCTCATGTGGGTAATCCCACGTGAATGAAATAAAAGAGTTGAAATTTATTTCGACTTTGATCGCGACGATTTCACATGCATGCGCGAGTATTTATCGCAATTTATCGCGTTAAATTAACAGAGCGCGATTATAATCGCTTCCCATTTCATCCCGCTATAAAATACGCACGCTCGCTTAACGAAGTGAAGACGATTGTGGAATCAGAGAAGGATTCTCTTTCATCTTCATGCTACGTAAATAAGCGTGACTGTATTTCCGTGGGAGAGAGAAAGTCACACGCGGCGTGACGTGGCAAAGTCATTACTTGAATAGACGCTGCTTACCGTTCATTTTAGCAATTACATCTGCCAGATTTATAACGGTCACGCGAGAAAACGCTTGTGAGACGCGTAAACGGAATGTTACACAATTAATCCAAGCCCGATTAGATATATATTCTTGTGTTAAATTGCGAAAAATAAAAATTTACTTCAAAATCGGAATAGTTTCACAATTGTTTAACAGCTGAAAATGTAGCAAAGAAGAAAGATAACAAGATTAACACAATATAAATTGTTTCTTTAATTTTACATATATGGTTTCATTATCGTAACATTAATTTCATAATTATTATTATTTCATTTAGAAAAATTTTTAAGATTAAAACATAAAAGAATTTTCTCTCTCTCTCTCTCTCTCTCTCTCTCCTTCTCCTTCCTCTTTATTTTTTGTTCACATATGTATGTATATATGTATGCAATTTCACGTGCTTTGAATTATGCACGACGCTTGAAATTATTTGCCCCGCGGTGACAGCGTTAATTTGAACTTAACGCGACGGTCGAGCAGAAGAGTAGAGTGACCTAATGTCTAATCTAAGGAGTTTTTCGTGGTCTGGTCGACACACTAAAATGAGAAACACCGACAAAAACGAAGAAAATCGAGAAACGTATTGAAGAATCGATACGTTTTACCCGTGTGAATCTGATTATGGCAATAATTTTCAATTCTTCACTTTCGTCTAACAATAGAAAGGCAGGATTACAAAGTTAATTTTGGAATAGATTCCAATATTAGAACAGAAATCTATAGAGCGGAAATTCAATGCATTCGCCGAAGTTGACTGACACAGATTTCTAAACATTCGAGTAAGAGAAAATACGCGAAATTTATAAATAGCTGCAAACTACCCATGTGAAAATGTACCGATTGCTCTCATAAACAAAATTATGTGGTGCGATATATGTATAATATATTGCAAATAATTCAAAATTATTTACAAATAAACAGCAAATCGTAAATATGTTCCATTGTCTTTGAACGAATTGACTTTGCCCTGTCCCTACGCTCCATCCCTATTTCAGTAAAGTACAATTTTGGAGAAAGCAAATAAAAAATACACACACAAAAATAGTTTTTGTCTTTTTCACTTTTTTTCTTTCTCTTATATTCTCAGAGAGCTTGGCTCTTAAAAATACTCGGATGATAGTACACGTGTTGCCAATTGTGTGCACCACTTCCATATATTTGTAAATTGATTCTCGCGAGCGCCGAAAATTAGTGCACTCACTTCCTTTCAGTCTCACATGTGCAGGCAGCGAAGTAGCGAGTCACCTTGTGTGTGTCTCTCTTATTCTTAAACGCTCCTTCTGTGTCATCCCTCGTTTTGAAAGGGTGAAAGAGTTTCAAAAGAGGCACGCGACAGGCCCTTCAAATCGTTCGCGATCGCGCGCATCTGCTATTGATCATTGTGTCACGCAAATTCAAAAAGTGCCGTGTTGTCATTGTAGCTAGAATTGTATAAAGATGCAAGAGCTACGGTCTCAGGTCTGTGAAGTTGGCACCCCTATGCAAATTTCAACAAAATCTATATGGCATTTGATTGTCCACAATTTGTCCATATTTCTCTTTAAATAATATTTATTGTTTTTATTTTTCACTTTGCAAAAAATTTATAAATAAATAAAAAAGTCTAACATAAGCGATAGATTTTAATATTAATCGAAGTTTTCGTTTACATTCTGAAATATAGATCGATTTTTCGTTTGTACGCCCTTAATTTGAAATGTAGTTGGACTATTGTGAATTAAGTTGGTCCTCTCCCAAAAAATTATTTTTTAAATAATTTTCAAACTAAGGATGCAAACGAAAAATATGCATACACGTGTAAACAAATGAGCAATCGAATGCGCTAAAAAAATTTAATTTTTCTTAATGTTGGGGGCTAACTTCACCCGGGTTTCGAATTTAGGAGTGTCAACTTCACCTGTAGATCTCCTAACGTTTTTATTTTCACCTGAAGTGTATAGAGAAAAATTTCTAATTTTTAAATCAATATGTTAAGATGTCAATTAATATTAATTGGCACTGTAATATTTCAATGATTTAATGCGGATTGTAGAAGTATCAAGAAAATATTTTTTAATACAAATAAGAAATATTTTAAATATAAATATCAAAATTCTGCGTATTAATTTAATATTTTTTATCCACTAAAGAATATTTATACAAATTAATTTTCAAAGTAATAATATTTTTATATTTTATATAAATAAAAATATATTCTCAGATTGCCAAAGAATTGTAAAGATCACAAATATAATTTTTAATCAATAAATGTATCCAACAAATAATTTCTTTAAAGCAAAAATGTTTAAGAATGTTGCGACAATTCCCATTGAAAATGAAACGATATTTCTTTTGTAAAAAGAAATATTTTACGTTAAATTAATTTGCTAAATGGCTATTAAAAATGTGAACTTTTACATATCATACAAGCGGCATGTGAAAAAATCTCAATTAAAAAGATAAAGTTCTTGCTGGTAATGGTAAATTGTCAGGTGATTCCTCACGTGTCTTATATCGCGTACGTAAATCACAATCGCAATCGCAAAGATGACTCACCGTGCATATAGGAAGGAAAAGGCCGATGACGTACAACATCGTGCTCGTAACCGTAGACTCGTGATATGGATGATAGAGTGACTCATCGTTGCAAAAGAAACCACGTTTATAAGGTTTACCGAACAGGAAGAACATCAGCACCGAAATGCCCACTGAAACATAAGAGAAAAACAATCTCGTTACACCGTCGTTACATCGATCGCTCAATAACAACCAACAAATACAGCAATAATGTCATCGCTCGCGACAAATTGCGATCTATGTAATGTTCGATTAATCGGGATTGAATGTCGTCTCGTGAACCCCAAATTAATATGCAATTTATTGCACTTGCTGTACAGCTGCTGCTGCTGCTACTACTACTACTACTACTACTACTACTACTACTACTACTACTACTACTACTACTACTACTACTGACGTATAATGCTGTGATTATATCAATCAAGATGGCATGTATTCGATGCATTCGTCCAACTTTCAATAATGTTCTTTAATTTCGCCGAATTGGACTTTTTGAATTATATGTAGAATGTCTCTCTATATATCGTGAATCGTAGATCTATTATATTTTTATTTTTATAATTACATTTTTCATGAATCTCGAATTTACTTTATGACACATACACACACACACATACACACGCGCGCGCGCAAAATTATTGATTTTATTCAAAATAAAAAAAAAATAAATTGTTTTATTTAGAAAATTATTATTTACAACTTTTTAATTTACAATTGCTCAAATGATAATTTAAGTAACCATAAAAACGTGATATTCCTATTGAAATAAACTATCGAAATTTTTTCGAAAAATAATATTGGTTCCATAATTATGCTATCGTAGTATATTTATATCTTATATCATATTTATACCTCTTTAATATGTTATGTTTATAAATACGTAATGTAAAATATTTTGGTAATATATTAACTTTATAAATATTGCAACATATGATAATTATCTAAAGATTATATTTCATATAAAGACTTTATGATTAAAAATATAATTGGATTTCATTTAATATAAACGATACGTCATAGCAATATAATATTATTTTAATCTGCTTTCTACTTATTAATAACAAGTCATTATTACAATAATCTCATTATACAGATAATTTCTACTATATACGCGTATGCGAATATCACATTCGTAATTATACATCAATACTTCTCATATAAGACTTTATATGCTTAATGCTGGAGGTCGCTCACTCTGTTATTAAGGCTCGTTAACGAAAACGACGCATCGTCTAATCATCGATGTCTTTTCTTGTGCATGATAGTCTTTTTTACAGTCGCACCTGTCATCAACGTATAAAAAAAGTTTAAACGCGTGGCTTTGCGGAAAATCATCGGAAAATTATGGGCTACCAATCAACCTGTAAATTTATTTACGTTACACCAATACATGAAAAATACGAGCGTAGCCGGTTGTTGCGATAATTGTGACACCACTTTCAACAAGTGTACATACACAGCGGTTAATGTAATAGCTTGCGCAAACGCTTATTATTTATACAGCTTATCGATCGATTGTTTTGCAAGCCAAATTGCGCTTCCGAAAAATTCCAACATGATTACAATTTGGAAAAAAACGTAACGATATCGACACGATCGAAATTTCGAATTGCTTTTTCTGATGGCAAAGTTAAATATTTATAATTTACAATTTCACGAAATGTTTCATGAATTGTGCTCTTAGTAACAGAAGCATATCATTCGTGACTTATAACGAAAATTAAGTCGGTATTTCTGTTTGGAACTAGATGATTTAATGATGTTTCATAATAATAATTCATAACCATTAGGACCGTCTGGTAGTCTCTGTGAGTCAAGTGTGACTCGAAGCGTAAAAGAAACTTACATTCCATTTACGGCTCATTGCGTCTTATGCACACTTTGTATTACATAATAAGAAAAAATATTATCATTAGTACGCTCTCAAGCGTATCATCGTCCATTTTGTGACATGACAGATAAGGGCCAAGGATGATTTACTTGATAAATAATACGAAGTGAACATTCATGATTCATGATAGTTGAAAATTTGAAGTAATTCTGGAAATAATTTTTTGTTACAAACATGAATATAATATTTCGTTAATATTTATTGATAAAAAATAAATTAATTTTACAGTTACTGTATATTGTATTTACATGTAAAAATTGTTAATCTCAAGAGTGAACATATTAAATTTTTGCAAATTTAAAAGTTGCTGTTATTACATATTCGTTACGCTATAAACACTTCTCTAAAACATAAATCTGGTTTTCTCTCCTTCTCCTTGAAATGCAAATGTAAAAGAGCCTGCGGCTCATAATGAAGGTCCGAGAGCTGTTAAGTCTTTGTGAAGAATGTGTCGGCAATGTTAAACTTTAAACTTTTCAATCTCTCTTTTTACACGTGTTTTTTATCGTTATTTTCTCGTTGTTTTATTGAACATTTCCAATTTTATTTAAAAATGCCGCAAATGTAAATACTCATGAAATTTATAAGCTAATATATAAAAAATGTATACAAAAAATATAAAAGACATAATAAATCAATCATGCTTACTTATTTTTATGTTTATTGTTAATACATTAGATCATGTAGACATATCAGATTTACTTATTTTACATATCAGTCAATTTAGATATTAATAAAAGTTTTTCTTAAAAAAAGTCGCAAACTTTATATGCAGTTAATTTAGAAGAACATAATTACAATTGCAACAAGAAATTTAATATATTACATTATAATTGTACTGTAATAAAATTTAAGGAATAGAAACGTTTTAACTCTCGCATTTTATAATTATACGATTTTTATTCGACATGTTCAATATGATGAAATAACGAAGCCTTGGAAAAATTCAACGTATGCAAAATTATTCAGCCTGTTAAAAAAAAAAACTTAAAAGTAAAGTATTCTTTGTATGTGTTTAAAATAAAAATACGTATAGCGTAGTATGTCTATTCTTAGTCATCGTACTTAAATTACTAACAATAAGTAGTAATAACTATATGTCCTTCGTTTTATAATTATTATAACACTTTGTTGATAAGCGCAAACACATTGCGCACGCTATTGTTTAGCAAGCTATATTATCACTATTAGCAACATTTCATTAGATCGATATCACGAGAAGCAGCATTTTTTTCAAAAAGAATTTTGCCCGACATTTAAACTAAAGTACGAACAGTTTTGCATGTATAAAATGATCTATGTTACGTCTCTATTTTATTTATAATTTATTATTATAAAATACGATAATTTATTAATTTTTTTATTTTCTCTTTATATACAAAGCTTAAAAGCTACTGTATACATAATGTACATATCTCAATTATTATGCAAAACTATATTATAAACGATAGTGACGAAATAATCATTAAACAAAAATTGATATCGCGACCTCTCCTTCGAAAAGAAATTATCGTTCCTGCTACTGATTCAAGAGATTTACTTCAATGTTAACACGCGTGCTAAATATCACAATCGCCCGCATGACGAATAAAAAAAAATTGCGATCCATAAGAAATGAGGAACTATACAACAAGCAATACAAATCTTTAACCAATTAACGTGAGAAATGTGAAAATGAAAAAACGCTATGTGCGCGATTATGCTAAAAATTTGATATCATTAATTTCTCACAAATGTATGCGGTTAGTAAATAATTGATAATTGATTTGATTGAAAAAGTAAGATCAGAAGAGAAAGCTAATTTAATAATTATGCATATTTGTATATTATAAATGCACGCGCGATAACCAGTCTGCTAATCGGGACTTATATAGCTCTTCATGAATGGACTCGACACACACTTGCCTTACAAGGCAGACAAGTGCCGTAGGTTTGGGCCTTTTCACAGCCACTTCCTTTCGACTAGTCGAAAGACCGCCAGCTCTTAACAAACTCTGAAAGGATGCGATTATTGAACCGGATGCATGAAAAATAGTCGCGTTTCGCATAATACGTCACGCTTAAAAGGAAAGACGATGCATGCGGCAAAATAACAACTATCTAAATTGATTCTAAGCATAACGACCTGCACTGTGTGTACGTGTATATATATATATATATATATATATTTGTCTGTCCATAAAAATATATTAATCTCTCAATCTGTTCCTGTGGAGAAAAAGAGGAGAAAGGCTCAAGGTTTTTTCATTGCGGACGGATCGCAGCGGTCTCAGTTGTAGATATTAAATCGCTTACTACACGTTTATTTTTACCTACACGTAAGCTTGAAAAAATCGTTTTACTCAGCTGCTCTTGCGATTTTTTTTCTAAGAAAATGCATCACAACACGCCAACACAAGTGCAGCCTATAAAGAGGTCATCTAATTTGATTCGGGTAAACTCACAATTTAACTCACAGTGTTGTGCAATGATTAAAATTGCAATATTATTATCAATATTTTGACTTCGCAATCATTCATTAATAATCACACAGCTGTTCTTTGTCTCTTCAAATTTTGCAAATAAAAATATGTTCATATAATATATAAATATAATTTAAATACAAGAATTAAGTTCCTAGTGATATAGTCCTTACAATAATGCCTATAAGAAATGTATTTATTATTGATACGATTAGTGATTAGACGCTCCACGAAACTTATGTTTCTTTTTACTTTCTTCTTTTCAAAATATAAAATTAACATATATTATAAATATATAAATAAAATATATATTATAAATTATGATAAAATTAATGTCTACAAAAATGCAATACTTGATTTTCAGCGGCGTAAAAGATTACTTTTAAAAGAAAAGTAAATCTTTTTATTAAATTCTGCCAATTTTGATAAGATAAGATTATTTCACATACTCGAATGATAAAGACTTTTCTGGCAACGTTTCCCGTTATTTTAGCATACTAAAGAATTCAGGTATATATTTATCTTCATGCATAATTTGAATAGAAATCATACAAAAATAATACAATATTTAACAAATTTTGGCATTAGTTTTTCATCTGATTTCCTCAATAAATAGTTCAAATTTGAATTAACAAATTTGCAGATTCAAATTTTCAAATATTAAGATTCGAACAATATTCTGCACGAATAGACTTGAATCGTTACTCACATTGCATATTTCTCAATATGTGGCATAATAATTATCTTTTCATTAATATGACGCGAATTGATATGGTTTTATATTAATCTTTGGATATTTACATTTTTGATGTCGAGAATTAGGTACAGTAAAATTAACGCAACATATTGATCTTATCTGCTTTTCATTAAAATTCAAAAGTAGATTTGCATATATTTTTCAAGGTAAACAACTTCCTTGCTGAGATAATTAAAATATTTACATAACTGATTTTACTGAGGTATGTACACAAGAGAACATATTTATTTAATCGCTAAAAAAAAATATATATATACCTATATATAGGTATTGTTTTATAATAATATTCGTAAATTTAAAGTTTACAATCTGCTTTATGAGTGACAACTCAAAAAGATAACAAATAAATAGTATCATTCGTTCGCAAAAGTAATATAACAAGTAATTAAAACATACGTTTCTAAAATACAAATTATGCAAACAAAACATAAAAGATCTGATATTGTACCTAGTAGTAACTTTGCAAAACGATTTGTGGCTTCACACAATTTACTGTGACCAAATTGCCTCATAAAGATTAAGGAAAAATAAGTGTATTTTAAAATATGACAGCTTATTCAGAAAAATTTATTGTTTATTGTTTATATGAAATAAAAGACTAGAAATCTATCATCAATCAAATCAAAGATTGAAGATAAAATCGCTGGGTTGTTATCCATGAAAAATGAATAAATAAATTTAAAAAGATAATCGAAATTAATACTTTGTGTTTGGAATTCTTTGTAATAATTAATTCAAGTTAATTTTGTCATTAAATATTACTAAACGCAATAATATGACCAAAAGAATTCACGACTTTTCAAAATTATTCATTGCTTTTGTTATTTTTACTTTTAAGTAATAACATTCTTCGCTTCACTTGTAGTCGCATGTTTTTATCTGTATTTGAGTAAAATAAGTAAAAAGGCATCCTCCGTTTTACGCAACATATGTGTATATATTTACGTTTATCTCATGATATTATAACAAAAGAAAACAATACAATGCAGTTTCGCGAGATGAACTATATATATTTTAACGGGAGTGGCAAAATATCAACGTGTACCGGACAGTTTCGCGAGATAAAGGCGCCACATCGTCTCTCCGTATCGTGAAACTGTGTCACCGCGGTGCCGAGAGATGATATCGATCGAGTTATGCCGATTCTATACATTGTATTTACAGAATACACGTCTGTGAGAGATGTACTACATTTTCGCGAAACATCGCGTTAACCATCCGTCATGTTGCTATTGTGATTGAAAACTGATAGCGACGCGGAAAAGTGGAATGCTTTCTCTCGCGAAACGAAATCACGTGTATTTAATAGGCTTAAATCGCTCTGGCTCGACTGTAAATTAATCTATTAACACATTCGAACAACTTATCTTTTGCTTCTTTTAACACTATCTATACGCTTATATTGTTCCTATACTTATTAATGTTATCATTAATCCATGTACGCGATCATATGGGGATGCACGAATTGCCACGATCGCGATGCGAGAAAGAGATGTAACCGCGCGCTAATGTTGGCAAATCAACATCTATAAATCTATTTATATAGAGCAAGGCAAGAATATCTGAAAATAAAATTTAAAGAAATATTGCAAATATAATTTTTTGTGAGTTTACTATTGTATCATATAATGATGCATTTATTTGCACATACATATTAATTATAGTAAATGTAAAAAAACTGTCTACTTCTAGTTTCTTGTATCAGTTCCTTGTAAATTTACATAAATATGAATATAAATTGTACAGTTGCTCGAAACTCTATTCCATAAATTTCAAAAGATTAATAAAGTTTTGTAATTTTGTTTTTGAGAATTTAAAAATCTTTTGTGTGTGGTGTGCGTGTGTGTATGCATATATAGTGTACAAAATGTATCTACATGCAAAGTTTACTTATATTTTATGAATTTCCTTCCTCGAAAAAAAAATGTTCCCTCTAAGTGACACCACAAGCAGGGAAAGATTAAAACCATTAGAGCTCTCATGGTAGAAATTGAACGAAGGAAAAAATCTAAGTGCCGCTCCATTAAAACCTAAGTGCCGCTCCGGAATGTATAGCACTAAGAGTTCAAATCCCGTATACTTTCAAAAAGGAGTAGCAGTCTCTTTCTTTTCCCCCTCCCCTCCCCCCCTTTCGCCTTCTATCATTCTCGCGAGTGCGAATGTCCGCCAACGCAATTCGCGAAAATCACGCTCGTATCGCAATAACAACCCACGTCGCCGAAAGAGCGGTGCTTTCGTACGGATAAAACGCACCTGCCAATTTAGAGGTTACACCTTCTTCACTTGGCGCGGTCGAACATCAAACAAACCTTGCGCGCATACGCCGCGTACACGACTAACACGACCGCGGCGCCTTGACTATCAATCTGACAGCCGGTCGTACGACATGTAACGCGTTCCTTGTTCGCGAAATGACGATCCCCATGCGATCCACAGTCACACATGAATCTGGCGCTTTTTCACTTACCAACAAATAAGCAGAGGAAGTCTATGATGAGTTTCCGTAGAATCAATTTGGACGATCGATCCATGTTGCGCTTGTTACGACCGTTGATTGCGATAAGACGTCGGTGCGCTGCAACGTTCAGGTGTAGAGTCTTGAGAGCATCTAATAATGATCGAAATACATAAAAACGGCGAAGTAACGGACGCGAACGTTGCGTGACGTTTCATAAGCGTAGACGTACACAACACACTGGACACGCGCAACACACGATCGGTATCACGCGACCTCTCGAAACAGACTGGGCGCCGACAGCGACGATACCGTCCGCGACTCCGCGCGGCGCACCGTACCATAACTCTCCCCACCCGGCTCATCCTCATGGTCCGTACTTCGCCGCCCCCCTACCTCGCGCAAATCTACTACGCTTGGTCGCGAATCAACTCAATCGAGATCCGGCTAACGACTCACTTCACGCAGCTGTATTCGACAAGATATATAATAATTCTTTATAGATTTCACTCGTTATTGTAAATACATAACGGCCAAAGACGAGACGTGTTTTATGCTAGAAAATTAATTAAGTAATTTTTACAATCTGTTAAATTGCTCATCTTTGGTCGTTCAATCTTATTAATTAAAAAAAAAAATATATATATATAAGTAGTGTTTAGATTCGAATGTTTTACAAATTATAATATAATCGGCAATCATAATGCGAGATTTGAAGCACGCATGCTTCAAATTTAATATAAGTATATAAATTCAATTCGTATGAAAACATTTATGATTTTATATGTACATACATATATAGATTAGTTATATGCAAAATATGTAACGTACGTATGTATATGTACATATCCATCATTGCTATATAGAACAAAATTAATAGACGTATACAAGAACATTTACAAATTACTTTAGTATTATTAAAATATAATAAAATTTATTTTTCTATGTAAATATTTCAAAAAATATTAATTCTATCTTTTTTGAAAACTGAAAAACAACTCAAAAATTTGCAGCCGCGATAACGCTCGTTCGATAAAAAACGCGAAATAACATTTGTCATTCACTATGATCGCTTTCCAATCATATTAAATTATTAACCTGATTATGTTTATCTAATACAATAAAGAGCATTTCTCTCTATAATTATCTCTATAAGCTATATATATATATATATATATATATATATATATAAAATATACTTTATATTCCTTAATGCGGATAATGGTTGCTCTGTGAATAGCGGAAATTTTTTGAAACAAGGACAGAGATAAGATTAAAATGTAAAAGCAAAAGCAAATATTTTCGGTGTAAATAGAGGTGCTTGATATTGCTCATCAGGCCATTAACCTCCACCTGCATCCTCCACGGATATTTACGGAGAAAATACATTAGGCCCTCGGTAATCATTGTGTAAAAACGTTCATTCACGTTCATTGCGGCAGATCCGTCGCGAGCGAGAAAAAATTTCTACATGCAACTTTAAATATGTACGTGCAATATATGGTATCGAGACTATCATGAAACTGAATGTTAAGAATTTCTTTTGCAATTTTAGTTTTGTAAAATTCATGAAAGCTCGTTGTTCGAGCCCCTCACAACAGTGTACTTATATCAGATGACGAAAAATCGTATGAACTTCCTTCAAATATGATTATCTTATCTAAAGAAAGTTGAAACAGCTTGTGCAACATGACTGAGAGAGTCACGTAATTAATGTAATACACAAAAAAAAAGTAAAAAAAAAAAACAATATAATTAACGCGACGCAAACGAGTTATTAACATATAAGGTACATTTTTGCTGAATTGTGAATCATCGGGAATTAAAAAACACAAACGAACAAACATTGATTTTGCGTCCTTCCATCCCCCTCCCCTCCATTCCAAATCCCTTCTTGTTTCCAAACGAGGAGATTCTTTTATTCTCTCTCTAAATATTTCTCAATTTCCGGGGTTTGGACGTAACAATAGAATAAAGTAGGACGGAAAAAGAGAAAAAATAAAATTACGAATTTACACAAGTTATTTACTCAAGATCGGCGTAACATGATGATATTATATTTTACTACGAGGCAATTACATAATTACACAAATGTACAATAGCATACAGTGCCAAAATCGTTGATACTTGGTATTCGCCATTCCTTATGTTATCCTCTAAGCGTCTGCGAATCCTTAGCGCGATTATTATTGCTAGGTAACGATATAACGGCGCGATCGTCGAATTGTACTTAATATATAGAGCTGAATAGCTATTGTGGAACTATGTATTTATGTGAATAAATCAGTATAATTTCGCAGAGTTCATATTTCAAACATACAAACATATACATACAATTTGTTACAACGTAGGATGCAAAAGAAATTTCCTCGATTTTACGACTACTAATATATCTCATAACTCACAAGTGGCCACAATGAGAAAACGGAAGCCTAATAGCGTTTATTAAACTTGCTAAAATTATACTAATTTCTTATTCACAATTTCAAATGGAAATTCATCACTTTTCCCAGCATATCCGTTTTTGGAAAAATTGTCTTCGGATCTTTTTCAGAACTTACGTCTGCCATCGCTATGCGATAAAACAAAATTATGAATCTTTTTAAATCTGTGTCTTTAAGTCATTTATATGTCATCTAAACTCTTGTAAACGTAAAGTGTAACTAAAATTTAAAAGAGAAGAAAGTCTACATGGACGAGGCTCGGAATGGACAACTTTGAATTTTTCGTGCAATTTGAAAAAATAAATTAACGTAAATTATGTGTGTAGCGTTGGCAGCAACGCAATTTGTTAGTAATCTCTGATGGCGCTAAAATTTGAATTGTTCATTCTAATCTCGTGTTCCTACATCGACTTCTTCATTTCTTGAAAGTTTAAACTTTAAATTATCTAAATACGTACGCGTCATTACGCGTACTTTTATAATAAGTTTTAAATCAAATTTTCTTGTTATTTACTTAGTTCTTAGTTAATAGCATTTTTCCTAAAGATCGGCTAGATATGTTTTTGTCATGTTTTTCCAATATTTCCGTGACAACATAAATCTAGTTTAAAATGCTAAATTTCATAATTAAAGCATGATTATTTATTCTATTTATGCTCTCTTATTCAATTCTTTTGTTTGCGTTTTACCGTTTTCCAAATGCAACGCGATGTTGCGAGATTGACTGAAATGACTGACGTGACAAAAAGAGTTAAAATTGTTTACTACTGACAAAAACGATGACGACTGTCGAACGATTAAACTTCTAACAGGCACAGTGGGACGTATTAAAAATAGATAGCGTTTATCGAAATAAGCACACAATTATGTCAATTACGCCCAGTTAACAATGAAATATAGAATGAACAAATTGTTTGAAAAGTAAGAAAAGAAAAAAAGAGAGGAACGCATGCTTTCCTTGTTATCGACAATGAGCGATTAAGTACATCTGGCACTACGTATTGACATTTACATATCTATACAAATCTGATACTAACCTACGATAGAACTTTTACAATACCGTACGCAAATCTATCAATCCCCGTCGATTTATCTTACATGCCTAAAATATGGCAACGTGTCAATAACAAAACTATTGTATAATATTAAAGAGATACAAAGCTAATCTGTGCATTTGCACTTCCTCTTTCCTGCGGCGAGAGTTTCCTCCTATTACGTATTTGCGTATTTACAATGTGTCTATCGTTGCAATAATATAACCGATTTTTGCTTGTATAACATCAACGTACTCTACTTGTACTCCTAGCTTAACGATAACTTGTCCTACATGTCACGCACTGTAAAGAAGCTAAATTGCTTTTCTATCCCCCCGTGAGTATCGACTTTAACGCGTTCTTCTACTGCGAAAACGGTAACAGCTTAACGAAGGTAGAACAAAACAAGAGCTAGTTTAATTATAACATTAATTATAACATAATTTACTAAATAATCATATTGTTTAAAATGTGTTGTCGTTACTTTTGGATAATACAATTTTGGACGCGATCGCAGACACGATCACTAATATTTTGTAATAATTTCGCCAACATATACCGTTTAATATATCATAGGGAGGGATAATTCCTAAATATTTTACATAATTTTTATAACAGGACGTAAGTAATATGATTAGATTGTTTTGTTAATGGCTCTTGAGAAATAAAAATCCAAACAATATGACGCTTCGTTGCAGATGCAAAATATACAATTAAATACTTTTGCAAAATAATTGATGTAAGTAATAAACCGATGGTTGCACACTCATATAAAAAAAAAATATATAAATATATATCATATGTGCTCTCTCCCTCCATAATTTTCGCGTTTGTTCAGCTTTATAAATATATTTGGAAATTTCTGCAGTTGTATATATATGTACTTAGATCGATGTACCTGAATGTCGATCTACCCAAATATTGCACATAGGTATATGGTTTATATATCTAATATTGCCACTCGAATAAACGTATAAACATAACAAGTATGGTCTTTGTCAAATCTTACTACTCACAAAATTATACTCATTTAAGCAAAGTTTGTACGATATCGATAATAGTTAAAATTGTTCGAAACGGAACTACATTATTTTATTGGTCAGGAATACAATGATAGAAATAATATTTAAAACGAAAGCTCATATTATAGCTCGACAAATAATAGCGAACGTACACTCTAGTAACAATTGTCACCCCACGTAGTTTATAAAAATGCATATAATGCGAGCCATATTTATACAGCCACATCGTGATCGATTCGGTAATTAAAATATCTCTATTACATCAAGATCTGCATGAAAACAGCTTAAATTCTAAAGTAGTAGTATTACATGGCACAATAGTTGAGTTTATCTCATCGTATGGATCGTAAAGTTTTCATTAACTCTTCCCCTCTCTCCCTCTCTCTCTCACTCTATCTCTATCTCTCTCTTACGCAACTCGCATTAATCTTTTATCACAATGTACATATATTATGCATCAGCATTTCCTGGGACATCAAAGTTCTATCGACACAGTTACTATCGTATGCCCAAAAATCATACTAAGATAGTCAATCGTACCTTATTCTTTGGTCGCCTCGAAATACTTTGGTTAACCCCCCCTCCCCCTCCCCACTTTTTCACTATCACAAAAACTACAACTATGTTCTTTCTTCATCTTTTGCACGAAATAGCAAGCAAATCGTCGATTTTCTAGCGAGAAGAAATAGCGGGAAAAAGGAGGCGATTTTATTATCGTAGGAATTATTTTATGGTTCTCTCGCGGAAACACCAGGAGCAAAGAGCCCTAATTTCGTCGATAATATTACGCAACGTGTAAAGGCGAACGCAAAAAAAGAGGCGTGCGCTTTTATGAATTTATAAAATTTTACAAGGATCTTACATAAGTTCCAGCTCTAATAGTCATCTGCGTGGCTCGTATACCGTGAAGGTACTGTCCACGAAGCCGGCCGCCAAAGATACGCGGTACGGATGAAAATTCAGACAGCTTACCGGACTGAGACGCGTACCCATAAATCCTTCGTGAAATTTTATTGTATTCAGATGTTGTCCCAATGTATTATAGACGCTGATGCAATGATTTGTAGTGCCACTAAAACAAAAACATTTTTTTCTAGTTAAAAAAAAATATGGGAGAATATATATCTTATTAAGATAATAATAATAATGAGAAATTACAAAGTTAACAAAATAAAATTATCTAAAAGAGTTACATGCCTATATGCATACATACACTGCAAATCCATGTGTGTGTGTAGTTACTTTTTACGCATTTATACGCGTGCTATATTTTTACACGCTTTATCTTTGTTTTAGTCAACATAGTTAAATGCATATTTTTTACACGCTTAATTTTACTTAATAATATGTGTAAAACACAGATAAAATGTGTAAAAATGTAGCACGCGTACAAATGCGTAAAAAATGACTACAAATTTATACACTTGAATTTGCAGTGTACTTATTAACGTTTCGACAAGCTATAAATTTAATAATACTATAAAGATAAAGAGTTAACCGCAAACTTACCAAGCGAAAATATCAGCTATTTCGTGCACAGTCAATGCCGCGATGCCCGGTGCTATTTGAATCGTGCTCACGGAGGAATTTTTTCGAAGATCAAAGATTCTTATGTCGCCTGTAGAAGATCCGGTAAACAGTTGTGGTGCGGATCCCTCGGATTGCCTTAAAAATGTACCCAACACCCAAGCGGTGTGTTCCCTCCAAGTCATAACTCTTGCTTCTACCGGAGGCAATCTCCGATCCAAGAGTCGAACCGACCCGTCGCCGCAGCCCAGTGCCATTATTGCCCCTGAAAAATTGCAAGAAAAATTTTTATGTGGACAAAATGCTTATTTCAAATACTAACGTAACAAAAACCGATAAACAGTAATATATAAAACAAAATGTGTGTAATGTGAGGCAAGAAAATAGCTTTTTTTTTTTAATAACCAACCTGTTCCATCAACGTCGATGCATGTGGTACAACAATCGGCGCCCGTTGGAATATCTTGCTTCTTTAATTCAGTTTCCGCATCCCAAAGTCTTACAATGCGGACGTCGCCCGTTACCGCTAAAGTGAGCGATTTCTGCTCCCATTTTGTGACGAGCCGTGCTGTCACTGTAAATATTATAATTATTAATTATATTTCGCTGCAATACTGATAGTATAGCGCGCGAAAAAATATACACGATTATTCTTAAGGTAATATAAGAAATTATTAAAATAGTACTCTACAGCAGTTAAATTACATTATGGTCTAGAGATAAATTATTTTACAATAAAGTCTTGGCTATGCTTTCTGATACGTACCACTAGAAGTCTTGGTTGCGGGTTGAACGTCCGCCAACGCCTGCCAAGCTGTCAGTAAAATTGGATCGCGGCTTATCGTACCGCTGTAATTCTTCCAGATTTGTACGGATCCATCGTCGGAGCCTGCCATCAGCAGAGTTAAGTCGTGAGAGTTGATAAATTCGAGCGCTGTGACGCGTGATTTCGCTTTGTTTCCCTGACTCGTACAATAAGTCAACTTTGCGCCACTTTGGTAATCCCATATGCTGAAAAAATTTTTAATAATTGCCAATTAGAAAATCTTTTTAAGTACATTAAATGCTTATTTTTTTGGTACTATATTCTAGATATCGAAAATACATATACCCGAAACAATCTTTCAACGCCACGGCCAAATGTGGTTCAAACGGATGAAAAATCAGAACTTGAGGTGACTGAGAACATCTCGCGTGATACACTTGCGATTCCATTTTATTTTGCGGCGCGCGCAATTGTTCCTCCCTTGCGTCTTGTCTTTGTCTCGCGTTACGTATAAATCTGCAATCATAATCATGTGTATCGTATATTTCGTGTGAAAACGCAAAAACCTGATAAAAACTCATTTTATAATTATAGAATTAACAGTAATGTGTAGAATTAGTCAGTGATGTAAATGATTCTTACCGCCATTCTCGCTCGAGATATGGTCTGCTCTCTACATCGTCCATTTCGTCCTCCAAACTAACGGGCTGAGCAAACTGCGCGCAACTCCATTCGACAAATTGAGAAGTTGTTAATGGAGGTTTAGCTCCAGGTACTTCGTCCGCTTCTTCAGATATCTAAAATTATAAGTGGATAACACAAATATATATATGTGTGTGTGTGTGTGTGTGTGTGTGTGTGTAGTGTGTGTGTGTGTGTGTGTGTGTGTGTGTGTGTGTGTGTGTGTGTGTGTGTGTGTGTGTGTGAACAGAGGAAAGATGTTGTTTATGATAGTTAATTAGAAATTACAAAGGATGTTTTACGGAATCGTGTGCTTCGCAGATAAGGGACGCCAGCTACTGCTACGGGAGCAGCGACGAGGACGAAGATGACAGCAGTAACGCCCTTCGTCAGCGGGGCGAGGTCAGCGCGGCGGTCAACACCGTGCTCTACGTCGGTTTGGGGACCACCGCGCTCGGCTTAGTCATCTCGTTCGTCGGCACCGGGGAGAA